TCACGTTCCGCTGAGGCCATTTTTCAAAGAGAACCTGCGGGCATGGCGCAGGGATGGGGACATCAGTTTGAGGATCCATTGTCTACACCGGCCAACGCTATTTCGTTAGGCACCACACTGGAAAAGTTCTGGAGAAGTACGGGCATCGACATTTTGCTCGTGGCAAGATTTTTTGCGAAGTTTCTCGCGCTTGGGTTTTCGTCGCTTGGCAACGACGTTGTAAAACAAGGCAATTCACTTCGTGAACACGGCAACCAGGTTACCGTCTTTTTTTTTTCCTCTGTTTTGTTTTGGCGGGAGCCATAGGTAACAATGGTGGTCGAGTAGATCATGTATTGCGGGGTGGAGAAGCCTCACTCCGCGCAAGGGGGATGATCGCACCACGTTGTGTTAAAATGGTCACGCATCCTCAAGGCAGTTACACAGCGTTTACAACTGTCTCTGGAAGTGAAAGACCCAGAAATCAAATTAACTCATACGCAGCTGTCATCCGTACGCAAGGAGGTAAGCACAAGATGCCNAGAACCCTCACTCCGCGCAAGGGGGATGATCGCACCACGTTGTGTTAAAATGGTCACGCATCCTCAAGGCAGTTACACAGCGTTTACAACTGTCTCTGGAAGTGAAAGACCCAGAAATCAAATTAACTCATACGCAGCTGTCATCCGTACGCAAGGAGGTAAGCACAAGATGCCGAACACCCGTAGCAGGATGCAGCGCACCCTTCATGCGACTCGCCGAATATCTCACGGCGCTTCGCGCTTGGTGATGTGAGAGCCTGGTCCGGTGAGAACCCGGCGTGCTCCGTCCCGGCTTTGTAGGGATGCGAGGTCAATGGTCTAACGACTACGGCATGCACGACTACGAGTACACCCCCCCAGGTAGTCCAGCCACACTCCGCTAGACGTACGCAAACATGACTGCTGCATCGACGTGGGCAGCAGCAAATCTCCGGCTATCAAGTTAGTACGTCGAGCCCCTTGCTCCTAACCTTGGCAGGCAGAACCGAGTGGGAGATACTTGGGCACAACGAAGAGCGTGACTCTAGATGTCTCAAGCTGCAAACAAGACTACGGTGCTGACACCCTGGAACAAGAAAGCTATTAGCGATACCTCCTGGTCGAGATCCTAAGGCTACCTTGGGGTGAGGTAGGGGAAAAACGATACGTGCTGTCAACCTGGGCGCGCGGGGGGGGGGGGGGGNGGCTCTCACATCACCAAGCGCGAAGCGCCGTGAGGTATTCGGCGAGTCGCATGAAGGGTGCGCTGCATCCTGCTAAGGGTGCGATGCATCCTGCTAAGGGTGTTCGGCATCACGTGCTTACTTCCTTGCGTACGGATGACAGCTGTGTATGACTTAGACTAATTAATTGTCTGGGTCTTTCACTTCCAGAGACAGTTGTAGACGCTGTGAAATTGCCTTGAGGGTGCTTGACCAACTTAACACAACGTGCGACTATCCTCTTTGCGCGGAGTAAGGGTCCTCGACCCCGCACAACATAATCTACGCAATCACCATTCATTCATGGTTACCACAAAAAAATACAACCAACGACAGAAAAAAAAAGCGGTAACCTGGTTGCTGAGCTCACGAAGTGATCGCCTTGTTAAACATCGCTGCCAAACGATGAAAACCCGACCCCGATGGCAGCGTGTTATTTCTCGCTCTCGATGCACCGCCTACAGTACGAGGCTTCAAGAGCGAAGTACCGAGATATTTTGGGATGTAAATCGTTTTGAATAGGATCAAAACCCCAAAATGAACCTCTATTCAATCAATGCAAAAGTTGTGTGTGCAAACAAAGGTACATAGATCCATGGCACACGAACAGCAAACCCAGAAGAGAGAGCACTAGAAAATCTTTTTCGAAAAATACAAAGCTGGACCTCCATTAAACTTGTTCCGTGGAACGTAATGGAAACCATCATCTCGATCGCATGAAAGTGAGAGATATACATTTGCGATTCTTGGCTTTCCCGGGAAGAGACGAGTCCGAATGGTGGTGGTGTGGGCAGGAGCTGTTCCCAACAAATATTTCACCAACAACTGATCGTCTCACTTTAGACTACGCATAGAGGGATGATTTTGGGCCGAAGTAGGAGCAGCAGATGAGGCAAAAGGGCATATACTCCGCTCCGCTCGACTTGCCCCCAGTTCATCCAAGACTTCAACCTTTCTTTGCTCTCATGGGGAAGGGTATGAACGAATGTCTTTTTCATCACTCTACATTCAATTTGTTAGAGTTGGGACGAAGTTGTGATCCACATGCTGCTTCTGCAGCTGATGCCTTTCACCGCGGCTGCGAAACACGACGACCCTTTCAGACAGCAGCATTACCGTGCCGATTCACCAAGCGGCAAGGGGGGTGACAGTAAGAAAAAATGATTGACGTGATGAAGGTATGGACGGCGGCACACGACTGATGTACTGAATCCATATTACATCAAGACGGTCAGCGAATATATCCAGCGAACAAACCATCGTGTGCCAAGATTGGAGGCATTTTTCGTCGACGCACCCAGTTAACGAATGCACCGATAACTTGAGAATCTATGCGTATGCACACAAGCGAGGATAGGTGGCGACGTTGTCACGGATTCTATTTTTTCCGATGGAAGCGAGAAGAGCAAGTAATATCGAAAGAATACAACAAAAGAGTATTCCAAAAAGGTGTTGAACAACAGAGGGCGCTCCCCCCCCGGTCATTTCTGTACAACCGAGCAGAGCCTGCAGGGAAGGTAGAAATTTCAGCTGCTATAGCTTCTATTCACATCGAGATCGAAGACCAGACAGGAGGTTGGGAGTCTTTGCGCGTCGTTTTGCCGCAGGACAGCAGTAACGCGATGTTGAGAGTTTGAAAGCTGGTGGACCTGGCCGATTTCGTGATTGCTGAGAATCTCAGCACAAAGCCCCTCAACACAAACAACTTGGGAGGGAAAACGCCGTCTTCCTGCGGCACTACAGGAGCGTTACGGTGTTTAGGCGTGGTAAGTGCGAGGGGTGGCTGCGAGGGGCGGGTTACAGCTGCCGCTGTTGGATTCATTTCTTCCGTCAACCGGAAGTGAAACAAATTGCAAGCTCCCTCCCTGAGAATTTCTCCGCAGGTAGGTGCGACTCTTCGTCCTGCGCAAACCAAGGCCACACTCCAAGAACAAACCAAAGAGGACTTCCGTGCATCGAGTTCCTCCCACGTCCATCACACCCGCCATCTACCAATAACTTGGGAGGGACCACTCTCGCGCTACTTCAATAGCAGTTGCCAATTCCAATCAATTCCTTGCGGAAGAAAAAAGAATGAAACATCCGACACCGACAGATGGATAGACAGACAGCGGAGCCGCCCCCTTCTCATCTCACCGCCCGAAGTGATCAGCTGTCGTAATCTCTTCCCCTCTCTCACCCCAGGGTTATGGATTGCAGCTGGTCCTGATGTGCATCTGCCACGGATGTGCTTACGCACACACGCGGAACTTCAAAACCTGGAGGAAGGGGAACGGGGGCGGCAAATTGGTTCACCCTCGGGGGCCGCAGAAAAAAAGGGTTGTGGAAAGCAGTTGCGTTGTCGTTGTCTGAGGTCTGCTCTGCCTCCCTTGCAGTGCTCCCTTGTTTCTGCCTTTACCGGCGAAGTTCGTCCTGCTCAGAATGATCATGGATAGAACTTGGTTCACCGTCGGCAGCTGCACCTTGATGTGCCGATCAGATGCTTGACCTAATACGATGAGCAGGCGCGTTGTGCGGGAAACAAAACGCTCCAGCGATGCCACATACATACATTGCTTTGTCAACGTGGTACAATGTTTTTTTGCAATACGCACCGTTTGCGCGCCATGTTTGTTCACCCAGAAACAACCTTTCTTTGATGTACAGCAGCTATGCCAGCTATGCTTGAAATAATCAGATATTCGGCCGGGCGGGTAACACTCTCTTGCTTGACCAAGTATACCCGCTCATCGTTGTGGATTGCATACAACAGGCCTGAAACCAGCACGTAAAGAGACACTGCGCCGTCTTTCCTTGTGTATGCATTTAATAATAACTCAGACGTAACGAAGGGCTTCTCCCATTTATGGTAAAATTTAGGTTACCTGCACACACAGGTGGCCAGTGGGCATCGTTACGGGGGGGTTAACGTGACATGTAACCCCAAGGCGTTGTGCACGACACACCGATTTATCGGACATTCGCGGCATACATAAACAAACAAAACTTCAAGAGTGCCGACATTTGTACGACCGATTTTTGTATAGTTGACTACCGTTGGACGGGCAAAAATAAAAACACTACACCCCCCTCATCTCCGCACCACCAGTACTATTTTCAAAGGAACCTCCTCCTCGCCGCTGATCTGTAACAAATTGCCCACCGTTCACCCCGCGAGTAGCCCCTCACCCCTTCGTGAGTACTCATTATTTATTGCAGCTGTCGCGTTTTGGGGGCTCTGTTCTTACACCACAACAAAGAAATGCGGGTTCGTTCTTGTTCTTAACACCACGTCGGGCCTGAGCACGCACGTGTGTTGTAATTAATAATTTGTCGACAATTTCTTTGGTTTTGACTTTTTTTCGAGGCCGCATTTATTTCTTAACTGCCAAGTTCTTAAGTGCGAGCGCCATCTTCATCTTCTGATGATGATGATGAAGTGCCGGAAGCAACATAGACAGACATGGGCCTACCCTATTTGACATATATATATATATATTTATTTATTTATTTTTGCCTTCCGACAATTGCAGATGTACCTCAGAAAACTTTCACTTAATGTCTCATACTCTACATGAATATTAAACCAATACGAAGTACAACAACATATGTAGGACTTATTTCTACTGTCATTTACATCGTAAAAGTATCTCCTCTTCAACTTACCAATGACAATCCTGATGGTATCCTATAT